CTTTGTAAAGTCAATGCTTTACTAATTAATGGTGTTAATGGTCGACTGGAATAAATTGCTTGTTCATTTATTTTAGTTGGTAAAATACTTGTATCTTTATTTTCTGGAAATTTTATTTCTCCTCTTTTTGCTTTATCAATAAGTATTCCAAGCTCATATCTCAAATAATATGTTCTCATTAGAAGAGTACCATCAAAACCTTTAAAAATTCTTTTTTCTGAATCTGAATGCCAGCACCTTTCCATTAATTCAACTAAATCCTGTGGTGTATTTGTTCGAATTTCTGGGCGAAGACCATTAAGAATATCCAGAATAAGATGTTCATCATGCTTACGATCAGAAAATGGTCTGCAGCCATTTATTATCTCCCACATAATCATACCAAAACTATAAATGTCGGAAGCTTTTGTAAACTTTCCTCCTTTTAATACTTCTGGTGCAACATATGGAATAACTCCATATATTGTATTCTCATCAGATGACGCATCTACCGGTTTGCTTATTCCTAAATCTGCAATTGTTGGAATATTATTCTGACCAATAAGAATATTGCCACTATGAAAGTCACGATGAATAAAGTTACTGTCGTGTACTAAATTAAGTCCATTTGAAATTTTTCGTAATAGTTCTAATTTATTTATCCAGGATAAAGTATTGGCGCTTTTATTTAGAAAATAATGTAGGTCTCTATTCGGCGCAAATTCTATGACTATTATATAATCTTTTGTTTCAGGGTGTTGCGTAATGCCAATATATGATGGATAGTTTCTTTATTGATACCATTTTTTACACACTGAAAAAAAATTTTCAACTAAAATAATAAACAAATAATTTTTTAATATAAAATAATTTTTAATAACTTGATATACAAACCTCATTTAAATAATTCGAATCCATTTTTTTAGAATTATTAAGAATTTTAAGAGCGACGTCATAATTTCCTTCTCGACCATATTTTTGCTTTTTAGGATTCCAGCGAGAAATAGGCCCATCGACCCATGTTGCTTTATATATTACACTAAACTCTCCTTTAGCTAGGTATTCAATATTGGTAAATTGTTTATATGGAATAAATTCTAATTTTTTGTTATGTGTACAGTTACGATAAAAAGTCTGTGTCGATTCAATAAAATCATCTATTAATTTATTACCGCTTAAAACTCGTAATGAAGCCCGATAACAATCTTTACATTGATTGGAATTTTCATCATAGTGAGGTTTTCTAATATTACATTTCTTGCATCTTGGATTTGTTTTACGGCTAGAAACGAGTGAAATTGGAGATTTATTCTCTTTAACTGGTTCTGCATCATGTTGTATAGTATTAATTTGTTTTTCATAATGTTGAGTAATTTCTGTATTATTCCTATTTAGCGAATTTGTA